TTCCCTCATTATACTGGACGGCAGTGTAAACAGACTGCATCACACGCACGCACGCACGCGCACACACACACACGCACGCGCGCACACACACGCGCACGCACACACACACACTTTTTCTAAGAACCAGGTTTACATGTTATTTAGTCTAGTTATATCAGCTAAGTAGAAAAACAAAGCCATCACATATCCATGTTCTTAATTGTATTAAAATGCATTTTGGAACAGACCCTGATGACAGTCACTGTCATCTAAAACAGGAGCACTTACAGGGTGAAACATGTAAGCACTGGATATGCGTGCGATTAGTTAAACTGGATGTTTATATGTTGCTGCCCTTGCTAGTCAGCAACAGAAATACCAGTCAGTTAAGCTAATTATTCATCCATTAAAGTACAAATCCAGTCAACTGCTGAGATGTCATAGGATCAGCAACGCATATAAGGCAAAAATTGCTTGTTATTCAAGACCAACAGGTGTTTTACCTCGAGACAGAATCATTTGTGCTACAAGGTTTGGGGGGGATGAGTTGGGTTTCTTTAAAGCTGGAAGTAGAGCTGAGCTGGACGCGTTTGTGGGGTTTCCAAAATATTTTAGGGAACTTAATTAAAAGAGCCATCATGTTGCTGTCTGGGCACTTATAATTTTAGCTACTGGACGCTTCTCCTGTAGTTAAATCAGAATTGACCCAATTGTGAGTAGTAAATGTGTTTAGGGTGGATTTTTGATCTGCACTGCTGGAAGTACAACTATATTCACAGATTAATAATGAAAAAACACACACCCACACACACACACACACACACACACACACACACACACACACATTAATTACTACCAAAGACAATCTGTAAGCACATTAACTAGTTCAAATATTTGACATCAAACTGAACTCCTTTCAGCCTGATCTGGTTTCAATAAAGTCTATTTATAGTGCTTAAGTTCAGCAGGAGCTGTAATTACAGCTGGACATTAGATATACCATCTCAGTGTCAGAAAAATTGTTATTCTACATTATTTTCATGTGTTGTCTTGCAGTTTTACTGTAATGTGATACTGTAATATCCATAAATCTTTGTGAATGTGTTATTCATGGTGACACAGGGGGGCCGGAGGGCTTCCCAGTATGCCACTGACAAGAAGCAGGGAACACCCTTAACAGCCTGCAAAAAACCTTAGCAAGTCACTGGAATTTGTTTTCAAATATTTTTCTCACCCTGACACACACACACACACACACACAAACCTGAATAGAAAACTATTTGAATATTTTCTATAAAAACGATTTCCAAGCACTTAACAATTGAAACAGTACTTCAGTAACTCTGATTGCAGATAATTGAATCTTACTTTGTGACCTTAACACAATTAACTGTGAAGCACCTACAGCTAGTGAGAGGGATGGGGATTGTCTTACAATTAAATCATGCTAAAAACCACATTTTAAGGAAATGGAGATGAAAGTCTAAGACCAAGGGAGCATACTGTGGTTTAAAATTATTCACTAGCAGGAGAATGGAGACACTCCATTAGTTTACAAGTAAAGGTATTGACTTTTAAAAGCTTGTTACATCACCTCTTTCTTCCTCCGAGTACCTCAAACTTAATTTACTATTGCACTGAGTCTCCACCACCCGAGCAACACTGCCTGCAGCGCATGTAGCAGAGCATCATCAAACATGCATAGAAGGCTCTGGTATCGTCACTAAGAGAATTTTTCAAGCTCAGTGCTGGCCTTTTGGGTTTATTTGGGTGGGGGGGAAAACCGTTGACATGGATACATTTTGTTCAGACAAGCAATAAGGATCTATTTATGAGTCATTTAAAACCAAGTACCATGACAGATCACAATCATTTAAGAGCAGTTTAGCATGGTGGGTGATCTTCAAAGAACCATTGCATAGTTCCCAGTAAATGTTGACTACTACTTTTGCTTGAAATGCCCAACTCTACTACATACCAAACTTGAAACTGATTCTGCTTCTGAAATCAAACAAACAGTACCACAAACATAACCTCTTTGATCGAGGTAATTACGTACCTTACACTTAACATTGCGTCTACAATAAAATGAGCAACCGTACTGGTTGCTCATTTTATTGTAGACGCAATGTTAAGTGTTCTCTCAGTGCATTACACTGGGGCACAGATATGCTGGGACACTTTAGGGCTCTGAGACCTATTTTCATAATTGAGCACTGACTGCTACTGTGCCACAATGGGCAGCACTCAAGTAAAAAGATCTCTACAGGGAATTATATTAACAACTCCCAGTCATTAGTGCATGAACTCTGATACACTGCTGTGCAACTAGTTGAATTCATGCCAAGATATACCTTGTGCATATCTTGGCTTGGGTATTCTGCTTATACCAAGTCACGTCAGGCTCAACTTAAATGTTGGTTTATGTCTAATAATATAATTGTAATGATTTATTAGTAGAATAATAAGTGACAGACACAAGATAAATAAAACAATTGATAAAGTATATGGGTGTTGTTTATCTAATTTCTTTGCACTAGTGACAGTCATACTGCAAACTGTTGTCATTTACAGTTGCACCTGAACCAAGGTTCTTGTAGATTGTATCCTATATAATGTCTGTGACCAGACACAATAAGTTAAAATAAATGAGTTTCCAAGTAGAGGGAAAAGCCAAAGCACCATCTACTCTGAGCTTAAGTCATATCAATGCATTTCACAACAGTTTCTGATTAAGTGAAATACTTATGCAAGCATTAAAAAAGAAAAAAAAACTGTTAGTGTAAGAGGTGTGAAATACAAATGCGGTCGCTCTGCTTTGACCCAACTCTGTGCTACATTAGCTAAACCACTAGCTGCTGCATGGTGACGTAAACTCAAACAACACAGAACTGAAATAAATAGATCAGCCCATTACCACAGATACCTGTTCCATCTTTTTGAGTTAAATAAATGTTGGATCAGTGCATCCCTATTATTACATATCCCCACAACTTAGGATAAATCACTTTCTAATTTATATCCAACGTTTTAATGCTTACTGCAGTTAAAAGAAAAAAGCAACATGATTGGATCACAGTCTGATTAGAACCCAGACAAACTTTTTTTCTGTGCAAAAAAGGGCTTTTTAAAATACTCCTTAACAGTTTTATCACTTATCTTTCTAATGGCTCTTAGAGGGTGGAGCATGAGAAGCTGGTGTACAGGCACAAGCTAACCAAAAAGCTGGAACAATAATACTGGAGCTTCTCACACACACAAAGAATGAGGAGCACAGGCACCCCCTGTGGTGTGGGATTCTTGTGTCTTTGTACTCTCTTGGTCCAGACACCAGCTGGTGTCCTTTCTTTCAACTTGCTCACTGTATATTCATCCTCATAATACCACCCAACAACCCTGCTTTTTTGCAACAGACACTCACATCTTGCACCCTCTTAGTAAGAGCCTTTTCTTTAATCCCAAATGACACCCACTAACATTGAAACCACACTTGTCCTAATCATTATCACGCAATTCCAGATGCATTAAACTAATGACAATAACATAAAAAAGCAGGAATAAACTGTGGCAATATATTTACCAATGCCTTTTTTAAGCTCTACAGTGTCCGTGAATTTGATTCCCTTACTTGGCATGCAGCCATCTCAATATCCCAGATTTAAAAGGAAAAGAAATCTGTGGCGCTTTAAATGCTACAGAACAGACAACCCAATCTGACAGGGCCAAATGCTGGGGGCCTGAGTGATGAAAATCTTTGAATAATGAGAACACAGCAGGATGCAAGAAAG